CCCCCCCCCCCCCCCCCCCCCCCCCCCCCCCCCCCCCCCCCCCCCCCCCCCCCCCCCCCCCCCCCCCCCCCCCCCCCCCCCCCCCCCCCCCCGGTACTCAAAAGAACGGAAACAGGCAATAAACTACTCCAGCAGTTTATCTCAGTTATTTTATACTCAGGTAAGAGAACCGCAGATAGAAGTCTTGATTGAAGGGAATAGAACTAAATTCGTAAAGTCGTTCAAGTATCTCGGTTTCACTTGAACGAATAAAACCTCTATGAAACCAACAGTTGATAAATGTTTAGAGAATATTCAAAAGTCAAACATAAAACTACAGTGGTTAAAAAGAAATAAGAGTATTTCAACCAAAATGTTAAGATACTATTGGTTTGTGTATTCCTTTCCACATTTTACGTGGGGTTTTCCTTTTTTTCCCCTCCTGCCAGTGTCTTATTAGGTTGTAGGTCAATTTATGTTCAAGGTGGCGTTCAAGGACAGGAACAAATTTTGCAAACCGATCTAGTTTTTTCAATTATGAGACATAGCCACAATTTATACTAGGTCTGATTCGCCGCAGCACAAGCAACAAACCAAATTATCCAGTTAAATAGTATGATATTGCAGCTAAAAAACCATAATCCAATTACAACAAATTAATATAAAATAAAATATTATGACAATACATTCCATGTCGCAGCCACGTATAAATGCTGATTTTTAAAACCCTTTTAATTCAACTACTATAGCTCAAAAACTACGGTTTTCTGGAACTTCTACTTCCGAGGATTTTGAAGAAAACTTTCTAGAGACGAAAAGAAAGAGAACCTCATGAAACCTCTAAACACTGAGTTTCATTGGGTTTGGTCTGCTAGTGCCGGAGATAGTTTCCTAATGTAACACGTCTATTGCAATCTAGCTTATTTTTTGTTCATAACAAACTGGGTAGCTATGTGGCAAGTTTTAGTGTAGATAGTGGATCGAATTTTGAACTTTTAATATTTATCTCCATTATCATTGCTATGCTTCTGCAGCTCTTTATTACTTATTTTCAATACTTCATACTTTGTTGCTTGTGACGTCAGATGACGTAAAACATTCTTCATTGTACCTTTTCTAACATGACCACTATTATTTTTGAACTGTATAGAACCATGCAACTTTGACAAAATGTTCGGTTATTGCCATGCACCAGAAAGTCTTCAATCGAATACAAAAACAATCACTTGAAAATTCCGATAATAAGTCAAGACGTCTGTACGCTGATTGGTTATTGCTGCTGCTGGCGGCACTGATATTTTAGACGATACAGTCGAAATATGTTTCTTTGAAACTGCTGCAGAATGCTTGTTACTACGCTGCAAGGTAGACGATCTTGAAGTCTGTTTGCATCTCATTCAAAATCTCAATATGATCTTTGTTTTTGTCTTACCTTCTTCGCAGAAAATATAAATAAGTACATCAATAAGTGCACATTGTCTTTTCTGTAATCTTTTTTAATATGAAAAACAACGAAATACTGATGATATAATCAAACAAAAAACAAGTAAATATTTATCAATTGATCCAAGGCAAATTAAATTAACTGAATCCATAATAAAAGATTTAATAATTGATGTTGATGTACCTTTATGATTGGTAGAACAAAATGGTTTTTTAAAATTTTATGCTTGTAGTTAATCCAATGTATTCACTTTTAATTTGTCGACAAATAACTCGGGATTAACTCCCGAAATTACAGGATCAAATGGTTATACAATTGAAAGCATTGTGTAATAATGCTGAATATGTATCTGTCACATCAGATATATCGACTGATACGCAAGCACGTTCTTATATTGGTATTACCTTGCACACATTTATTGATGATGATTTAAAATCAAAACCATATTTATTATCATTCACACCATTGAAAGGTCATCATACAGCTGATGTTTTATTAGCTGAGTTTGAAAAAGTGATTAATTATTATCATATTGAGAAACAATTAGTACGTTTAATTACGCATAATACAGCAAATAATATAAAAGCATTTAATGATATTTTACTTCCTGGTTTTGAATCATATTTTGAAAATGATGACTTTAGCAATGAGGACAATAGCTTATCACAAGATAATAATGATGATTGTGAAGAAAAATGTGATGATGATTCAAATGATCATTTTGAATCAGTACCGTTAGCTGATGATATTATTCAATGTGTTAGTGAAAATTTAGAACTATTACGTTTACTATGCTTTTGCTCATACATTGCAATTGGTTGTCAATGATGATATTAAACATGCATCTAACGCAACTGCTGCTTCAACAAAAGTTGCAAAAATTGCAAAGTGTAGTCATAGTAGCGTTTTATTTGCAGAAGAATTAGAAAAATTATCAAAAACAATACCACGTGCAACAAAATGTCGTTGGAATAGTCAACTTTTAACTGTCACTGCTGTTTTAAATATACCAGTAAATACACTTAATGATATTTTAATTGAATTAGGTAAAAATGAATTGTGTTTAACAGAAAAAATAAGGATGTTCTTGATGAATTTATGGCATTATTATGCATATTTAATGAGGCAACAATTTTGACTCAAGCTGATCAAACAATTACAATAAGTACTATTTTGAAACTTAATGATGCCGTTGTTAAGTAATAAAATTAAGCTGGCTTTTTTAAGTAAATTCTTGCGTAAATATTATTTATTTGGGAGAAAACTAATATTGGCCAACTGTAACAACCAGACGACGCAGAAAATATAAGACGGGGAAATAGACTAGTAAAGCGTGGATTCATCTGCCAACAGGAGCGACTATAGGTGGATACCGTTAAATCAACAGTTGACGATAAACTTGTAGCATTCACTTTCGAATTTGATTTTCCGAAATACCCTTTTGACTTAGCCATACTTCAAAAAAACCATTTAATTCAACTTTGTAACAATAGAAAAGGCGAAAGGACTTCTTCACTTTCTATCAGATATACTGTTCTGAAATAACTGTGTACTTGTTACGTGCATCATGTAAAAAAAAAACATGGTGCACTTAACTGCCAAACTGGATGCTGACAAAGTATCCTTCTTCCCTGAAATGCAACCTCTGATATTACTCATTTTCTGATGCTTATCTTTCTGTTTTTTGATTTTACTATGATTTATTGTAAATAATGTTGAATGAACATGTAGCAAAGAAGAAAAACTGCCCAGGCAAACATCACCTATGGGAAAAATCTAGATGCATTTCGTCTATAATCGGGCGATACACGACTAGTTGCCATGTAGATTACTAGTTGGAAAAGGGACTTTTAACTAGATGCGTCTGCATGTGTAACTAGCAATAGTTAAAACGATCGATTATCGGGCGATAAATCGATAGGTGCAACTAGCAGAAATCTAGCAATCGCCCGATTACTAGATTTCCACTGTCGTTACCCAATAGCTGCAATCGAGTAAAAATCTAGTAATCTAGATGAATCGGGCGATACTAGCTATTTTTTTGACGCTTGGGTGGTATACTCGAGGCAGCTTTATCGTAAGGCTGGATGATGCTCCAGGCAAGAAAATAACACTGTATACATTGAGGTCTAAAATGATCTGAAGAAGCTATTTTCGATCGGATAAATCTAAGGAGATGTCTTTGGAGAGACTCAAAGCGAATGGTATATCGTACTATGAAAAATGATTAAAATATTGTCATTTTGTATGGATTATACCGATCACTATATATGATGATAGTGACACACGTCAACTATGATTTAACTGTTTCATGAAGGCAAAGACGTTATCCACTCTATATCCTATATCATTAGATACGTCTTGAAAGGATCTACAAGATGGTGTGCAACAGATGAAAAGAAAATTGCGTCTGGCATACTTTCTGTTCTACAAGCGCAGAAAGTAAATAGCAATTCTTCTCGTACTTCGAGATTTTCTCTCAGAATTCAGCTTTCATGCTATAAAAATATTATATTTGGAGTCAGCATAAAAAAGGGAGTCGAATGATACATACTTCAAAATCTTTCATTGATTTTTATTTTTTGATTAAGATCTCAGTAATATTTAGACATGAAAAGGCGAAAAACCGCAGAGTTGTTGTATAACATAGAAAAGTATATCATTCGACTCCCTTTTTTATGCTGACT